AATAATAATAATAATAATAATAATAATAATAATAATAATAATAATAACAACAACAACAACAACAACAACAACAACAACAACAGTATGGTTTTTATTTTCCATGCCTGCCCTAGCTCCCAAATGATGACGCTGAGACCTCTTGCATTTATTAACAAGCTTCAAAGCAGTAGAGCTGGGCAGATTCTCAGCTAGTCTAACCTGTCTGTGCTGGTCTGCCCTGTGCCCCATTACCTGGCAGTTTACTCTGTCACCCTGGCTGCTCCTGCTCCATCTTTGCCCTTATGGCGACTTCCCTATAGTGACCTCATGGCAACCTCTTCCTCATAGCTACATCCTCATGGCAACCTTCTCTTCGACCCTCCTCTTCTCTCTATTCACCTGGGACCCTACTCCTGGGATTTTTAAGTCCTGCCTCAACTCTCCTGACCAGCTATTGGGCTCTGCTCTGCCGGCCGGTTCCTCCCCACTCCCTAACTCCTGACATTTTTTTTTTTTTTGCGGGGGGGGGGAGGTTCTTCTCTCTATGTAGCCCTGTCTGTCCTGGAGCTCACTCTGTAGACCGGGCTGGCCTGGATCTCACAGAGATCTGCTTGACTCTGCCACCTACCGCCCAGCTTCTTTTTCTTTTTTTTTTTCTTTTTAAAGACTTTTTTAGATCACTTTAAATGTATGAGCCTGAATGTAGTTATGTGCACCACATCCTAGTAAAGACAGAAAGATCATAGAGGTGATGAAGACAGCAGGGGAATTAGGGTGAGGACAGTGTGGGAGGAAGGACGTTGCCTTCAGGGAGGGAGCTGTGGCAGCCTGCTGTCTTCCTGGTGCAGAGTTTGAAGAGCTTGGACTCTTCCTCCTTTTTGTTTTTGTTTTGTTTTGTTTTTTGGTAGCTGAATTTGCTGCTGCTGCTGCTACTTCCTCACTTCCAAACTTTCATTTTGACTTGGTAAATACATTTGCCATTAGATTTGTACATGATGTTTAACCTTACTATTTCTCTTCTATTCTCTATAATTATACCTTAATGAAAAATGATCGGTCACAATCCAGTCATTAAAGAGTCAAGACCCATAGTTTCCAAAATAGCCCTCTGTGAAAACATTCTTCCTTCGGTCTTTCTCAAACTGTCTTTTACCAACATGACTCTGGCCTTCCCTCCCCCACCTGCCTCCCCCCTCCCCCTTCCACCCCTATTCCTTTTGTCTACCTCCTGAGTCAACGATCTTTTCATGTGAGTGTTTACGTGTGTACATGTGGGTGTGCTTCTGCCCTTGTGTGTGTAGAGGTCAGAGATACTGGTTGTAGTCCTTGATTACAACTGCTTAACTGTGACCTTGCAGGGAGCCGGGTTTCATCTCCATGCGTTCACTACAGAGCCCAGTGTGCTTACGGAGACGGAGCGGGAGAAAGACATAGAGTACACTTCCAGGCTTGGGGCAGGGACCATGAGGCTTTGAGTCACACAGGCAAGGCGGTAGAACACTTCTGTTAGTCACCTTAGGAAAGAGAAGGAGGGCTGGTTTCAGAATGAGTGTGTGTGTGTGTGTGTGTGTGTGTGTATGTGTGTGTGCATGTGTGTGTGCGTGTGTGTATGTTGGGAGGACAAGAGGACAGACACATCAATGGCAGCTGGGGGTCAAAAGGGGCAGTATAGAGTCACTAGTACACACTTGAGACCTGTGTTACAAAGTCACATACTAATTTTGTATGTATGTATGTATGTATGTATGTATGTATGTATTTGGTTGGTTGGTTGGTTGGTTTCAGTTTTTGGACACTGGGCTTTTCTGTGTAGCCCTGGCTGTTCTGGAACTCGATATATAGATCAGGCTGGCCTCAAACTCAGAGATCCGCCTGCCTCTGACTTCCAAGTGCTGGGGTTAGAGGTGTGGGCCACCACTGCCCAGTTGCTTTTTATTTTTGTGGCAGAGCTCACTTACTGTGTAGTCAAGCTAGCCTTGAATGCACAGCCATACTACTTCAGAAGCTATAAATGAATATTGAAAAATTGGATTTGTTGTCCATTTTGGCCAAGATGAAATCAGTCAGGAATGAATAGGAAGCTGGACAGAAGATGAGGGCCAGTGGAATTCATGACATAGCACACAAAGACAATGGTCCTTGAGAAAAGCACAAGCCCCGAGTGGCCTCTCAGGAGAGTTCAAAGATCCAGGGGCAGGGATGGAGAGCCCCTGAGGGATGCAGCAGACCCCCTAAGTTGAGCAAGTGAATCCGGGGACTCGGAGAAGACAGGCTTCAGGACAGTCAAGTGGAGACCAGAGGAGTTCAGAGAGAGAAACTTCTAGGTTTTGGAGCTCACCTGGAATTATCAGCTGAACGCTGATCTGCCTGGATCTAGGGACGTAACCACATGACAGGAGGAGAGGGAACCATCCATGGAGAGAGCTCAAGGATGGAAGTCTGTGGAGTTTTGGTTTTCGAAACAGCGTCTCATGTAGCTCAGGCTAACCTCAGAACTTCTTTGTAGCTGAGGCTTGATCCTCCTCCCTTTGCCTCTTATGAGCCATTATGCCCAGATTTTTGTCTTGTTTACTTTCTTCTGTTGTGGCATCACTCCTCATGGCTCTGCTTCAGTTCCTGCCTTGACTTCCCTCTGTGCTGGATCGTGAGCCGGAAGTGTAAGCTGAGTAAATTCTTTCGTCCTCAGGCTAGATCACTCAGAGCACCCTCCTGTCTCTGCCTCCACTCCGCTGTGATTACAGACATATGTCTCTGTGGGGCCAGGCACGAGCACTCAGTTTCTCATGCTTTCAGGACAATCTGCTTAAGGGCTGAGCCATCTCTCCAGCCTCTCCATGATCTTTTGAAATGAAGGTTGAGAGATGTGGGTTTTTTTTTCTTTCAAGGATTTATTTTTATTTTAGGTGTATGAGTGTTGTGTCGGCATGTATGTCTGTGCACCACGAGTGTGCAGCACTCAGGAGGCCAGAAGAGAGGATCTGATCCTCTGGAACCAGACTCACGTACAACTGTTAGCCACCACGATGGTGCTGGGAACAGAATCGGGGTTCTCTGGAAGAGCAATAAGTTCTCTCCCCCACCTCCCTTTCCTGCTCCCTCTCCTTCTCTCTCTGTGCCCCCCCCAGACATGATGTTACTGTGTAGCTCTGGCTGTCAGAGAAATCCACCTTCCTCTGTCTCCAAGTGCTGGCTGGGATCAGAGACTTATCCATCATGCCTATAGGCAACGTGTACTCTGAACTGCTGAGCCATCTTTCCAGTCTTTAGATTTTTCTTTAAGGTGGTCAATCTAAGGTATTTCATCTGGGGCTGGAGAGATGCCTCAGTGGTTAAGAATGAACGCCGAGCCTGTGGTGGTGGTGCACTCAGGAGGCGGAAGCAGGCAGAGATCTGTGCATCTGAGGCAAGCCTGGTCTACACTCACAGACCCTGACTTGCAGGGAACCCAATTTGACTTCCAGTACCCATGCTGGGCAGCTCATCACTGTTTGTGATTCCAACTCCAAGAGGACCTGACACCTCTGACCTTTGGGGGGGGGTGTCATGTGCTTTCTCACACACAATTTTTAAAAGGGCCCCCTGGAGCCTGCAAGCATCCCAGGTAGTAAACCTGCCTGTTGCTGGGTTTAATGGCCTGAGTTTAATCTGCTGATCCCACGTGGTGGAAGAGAAAGCCAATGAAGTTTTCCTCTCACCTCCACACTGGTGTTGCAGGTGCACTGAGTTCACACACACAGAACAAATGTAAAAAGTACAACTAAAACTCTGTTAAGGTCTTGCCTGTATTTGACACACAGGGTCTTGTGTGATCACTAGTCTTTGTTTTGGGTGCATATAGAAATGAAGAAATCTGAAGTAAGACACACACACACAGATGGGTACACTGGCACACTCCTGTAATTCCAGCACTCAGGCAGAGGCACAGGCAGGTGGATCTCTGTGAGGCCGAGGCCAGTCTGGTCTACAGTGTGATTCCATGACAGCCAAGGCTACACAGAGAAACCCTGTCTTGAAAAGAGCCAAAACAAACAAAACAACAACAAAACAGAACCACACATATCTTCTAAAGCAGTTTTTAACATATAGGTGACTCTTGGGTCCACTGTAAGAGAAGCCTGATTCTTGAAAGAAGGAAGGACACCCAGGTTCTGTTCTAGGAACCTGGCTACTACATGAGAATGAATTCTCCAAAATCTGGAGCCGAGGCTTGGTGGCCTACCAACAGATCCCTCCCCATCAGCCTGCCCTCTGCTGGGTTAAGCTGGGTCACACAGCAGGGGCTTGGCAGTAGACTCTGGCTCCAGAGAAAGAGTCAAGAGAGACTGCTGTGGAAAACTGGGGCTACACACAGGCTGAGGGCTGCGGGAACTGGTCCAGAGTTTGGCTGAGCAGGGATGCAGCTGAGATACAGCAGGTCAGATCATTGAGAGGGAACAGAGCAGCGGTCTGGAAATTGCCAAAGGAGGGACCTGGAAGGGTTCAGGAATCTCTTATGAGGAACAGAATCTTTCTGCCCTTCCTCTCAGTTACTAGAGGTTGTCAAGGACTGGCACACTTCTTGCTACGGAGGTATGGGTGGGAAAACTAAGAAACCCAGAGAGGAAGGTTCGGAGGAGAGTTCATTTGGCTAAGTTCAAGAGTGTCAGAAAACAGCTTTGGTCATGAAAACCAGGCCTTTGGCTCCCAGGAGCTGATCCCAGGAGTGATGCTAACGACGGAGAGAATGTTCCCTCGCTCCTGCCCTTCTGACACAGTCCACACCTGCACAGTCCCTTAAACTGCCACCTCAAATCCAAATAATGAATTTTCTTCCATTTCATGATTGCTCCCTGCCCGCCCTGCTCCTCCCCATCCTCCCCTCAAGTCCCAATGTTCCTCTCTTCCCCCGGACTGTGTAAGGAGACTTCGGTAGGGACCTGTCTCGTTTTCCAGGCTTCAGATTGTAGCAATGTGAATAGGTAAGAGAGGGTGCAGTTTGGTGGCCCATGGTATCACTTGCACTATGTTATAAAGTACGTGTGTATCTGTTTTCCACATGTGTGCAGATGCCCGAGGAGGTCAGGAGAGGGTGCTGGGTCCCCTAGAGCTAGAGATACAGGTGGTTGTGAGTGCTGGGAACTGAGCGCTGGTCATCCCCGGAGCTACCGTTCTAGCCTCTAACACCATGTCTTTGAAAGGTCCTAATGGGCAATAATTAGCTAGTTGTTAAGTTGGTTAGTTGTGTTTTTGAGACGGGGTTTCTCTGTAGCTCAGGCTGTTCTGAACTCTGTAGACCAGGCTCAAACTCAGAGCTCCACCTGCCTCTGCCTCCTGAGTGCTGGGATTAAAGGCGAGTGCCACCATGCCCAGCTTTCTTTTATCTATCTTCAGTTAACATTGTATTACATTTTAATTTATTTCACATGGTCCAGCATATGTGGCGGTCAGAGGACAGCTTTTTGAAGTTAGTTTTCTCCTTTCACTGTGTGGAGAGTGGGTTCAGGTCATCAGGCACCTTTACTGACTGAGCCATCATACTGCACCTCCCCCACCCCTTTCAGACAGAGTTTTTGTACTTCTGGCTGACCTTGAACTCTTTATTATTTTCTTTTTAAAAACTGGGTCTCTCTATGTAGCGCTGGATGTCCTGGAACTTGCTACATAGACCAGGCTGGTCTTGAACTCACAGAGATCTGCCTGCCTCTGCCTTTGGAGTACTGGGATTGAACGTCTTCCACCATATCTAGCTTGGCCTTGAACTCTTGACCTTCATCTCCCAAGTGCTCAAATAAGTTTGTCATGGTTTTTTTTGTTTTGTTTTGTTTTGTTTTGTTTTTTTGTTGTTGTTTTGAGACAGGGTCTCACTACGTAGTACTCGCTGTCCTGGAACTCACCAAGACCAGGTTAGCTTTGAACTCACCAAGATACACCTGAACTCTCTATGTAGATCAGGTTAGCTTTGAACTCACCAGGATACACCTGCCTCTGCCTCCTGAGTGCTGGGATTAAAGGTCATGTGCCCCACACCTGACTGATTTTTATTTTAATTTTGCTTTGAGACTGGGTCTTGTCATATAGTCTTGGCTGGAGCAGAACTCCTGAAGCAGACCAGGCTGACTTCAAACTTGAGTTGATTTGCCTGCCTTCCGCATGCTGGGATTTCAAATGTGAGCCACGTCCAACTTTCTGTCTTTTTAAAAAACACTTTATTTTGCATCCCGACCATAGTTCCTCTTCCATGTCCAACTTTCAAATTAATATTTTAAGGAGATTCTCTTTTATTAAATCACTAAGAAGGAAGAGGTGGCTGATGTTCTGCAGTACAATTTTATAGCTTTGTTGAGGTGTAATTGGCACACATCAGTTTTGCACTGGAAGGACTTTGTACTGTACAGGCTATCATGATATTAATTCCAGCAAATACTGTCTGAAATAGCTCAGATTCAAGACTGCTTGTTTGTTTGTTTGTTTGTTTGTTTTTGGACAGGGTTTCTCTGTGTAGCCCTGGCTGTCCTGGACTCAGTTTGTAGACCAGGCTGGCCTTGAATTCACAGAGATCGGTCTGCCTGTGACTCCCTAAGTGCTGGGATTACTGGTGTGGGTGTCTGGTGGCAATTTTTTTTAATGTCCATATACAATTTTGTTCTTATAAAAACAGTGGCTTAATTATGGAAAATTTTAAATATTTTCCTATTGTCACTCCCTAGAATATGTCAAATTAGTATTTCTTTGGATTGTAATGTTAGAAGGTTTTTTCTTTGATTGCTGTTGGGTTCTTGAGTTTCATTAAAAGAGAGCGCAGCGCTTTATTAAAGCTCTGCGCCACACACACGGCTGCTTTCATCTCTAATAAATCATGAAGTTGCCGTTCAACAAAGAATTAGCAATTTCTTGATGGTTTACTGACAATAAATGCTTGATTGATATACTTTTATATACCTACTTATCTGGGTTCTGGGGTTGCAAATATGCTTTAGACAAAAAAAGAAAGGAATATCAAGCTTAAGAAGAAACAAAAGAACACAGATGAGCAATGAGCTCAGATGGCTTTGCCGGCAGCTCAGTGGCACGGTTCTCGCCTGGCACATACAAGGTCCAGGGTTCCATCCCCGGAACAGACATGAAGCGCCAGGCCTGATTACCATTCAGAGGAGGGAGGCAGCAGATGGGGTTTAGGGCCAAATACTTAGCCTAAATTTAGCTTCAGGGGTCCATCATTCAGGCAGCAAGGAACACCCCTGCCCAAGCATCCCTAGTGGTAGGAGAGGGTGATCATTTCCCTAGGAACAAACTCAGGAAGTAGCCAAGTATGGTTTAACAGGCACCTAGGAATACTGTTAGGACCTTATGGTTTGGGGCTCATGGAAAGGATTACACTGAAGGCTTAAACTAAACGGGATTACGCCTAGTATTTATTAGAGCCATCTATCTATCTATCTATCTATCTATCTATCTATCTATCTATCTATC